TATTGAGTGTTTGTTTAGAATAGTCAGTGTGCAAAGTAATTTTAATGTTAGAATTAAAAATACTTTTCCTTATCTCAAAAATCTCAAATTTCCCTTGTGTAATCTCTAAAACCTAAATGCATTTCAGACATTTTTTTTCAGTAAAATTTTATAGCTTATCTGTTATTTAATCTACCCTAGCTCAAAACAGGATTGGTCTATTTGACTGACCTCGTAACCACCAAAAAAAAAAATTTAAATAAACCTAAATTACCCTTTTTTTCTTTTTAGAATGACTTCAAATTGTAGCTTCATGCTACATTTGTTTATCTTAAATAGCTCTAAGTTTGTAACAATATACATCCATTTATAATTAAATTTTATTCTCTTATTGCCCTTTGAACTGTGTGTCTAACTACTATTTGTGCCATTATAAGTGGTAACTCACTCGGGGAGTGTGCAGCTCACATTACGTTATCAAATTACATTACCCATGCGCTGCTTGCGTGCATACCTCGTGAACCATTTTAATTATTTTATTATTGTTACTTATTTAACCTAATCTAGTCTTGAATAACTTAAAAAGATCCATATTTTTATATTTTAGTTACTTTTTTAATAATAAAGAATAAATGTGAAAAACAAGAAATAAAGTACTTACCCAATCTTATTTTTTCTTGCTCTCGAGTTTCCGAAGGGATTTAACCCTAATTTTTTATACTATATATAGTAATGCACTTAATAATTTTTATTTAATTAAATAATGCACCAAAGAATATAGAATAATAATAACATGCAAAAAATAGACAAATTCACTTACCTCTTAAAATTTTCATGGCTTTCTACTTATGCGACAAGAGCTGTTACAAATTCATTCACGGGAACGAATCTTGTACTGTGAGTGAAATTGACGATATTCTGTTCCAAACACAACATTATACAATACTTCATTTGATAGATGGAAACCTTGACTTTCTATTAGTTATAGTTAATATATGATGAAACTTGAGAGAGAACTATCAACGAATTGTGAAAGAGATGATGTGGCTGGAGGGGTCTGATTTTCTAATCGATAGCTCTGTAACCAAACAAAATTGAAGGCTATAAAAATTATGGTTTGTTAGAGCAATAACGATTTTATAGAGAGTATTTTATATTCTTAAATTCACTTCCCTAGTTGAATTCTGTATGCAATAAAAGGAGCTAACAGTTGGTGTGAGGTTGAAAGCTGTTGAACTGTGTGTGTGTGTGTACTGGAAAGCAGCTAACTAGTATGGACTTATAGTTATGTTCAAAAGTGTGCCTTTGGAATATATTGCCTTATCAATGCCTGATTATGATTTAACTGCTCTATTGTCATAACTTTATCAAATCTTCACATGTTTGAACATAGATGATGTGGAATTGAAGACATAGGTTTGCTTGGTAATGCAAGGAAGTATATGACCCTGACAACTTTATATTTTCCAGATGTTTGCTGTTAAGTTGCATTGTACACTCAGATTGTATATTTCATCATCATTTTCACTATAACTCACTGAATATGCTGCATAAGCAGACCTTTGCTAATTTTTAACTTGTTAACACTTGAATCTTTGCTCATTTTCAATCTAGACTATGCCATAACTTCATTAGGGGATTGTTACAAATTTTTTGTGTAGTTACTCATTTTAGTAGCATTGAGAGCATATATATTCTCTCATTACTTGTAACTGAAACTAATTATTATCCAATATATAAAATGTTAAGAAGTATTTCCATGATGGTGTTTATTGGTCATAGAATATGTATCAACTGTATAATTTTATATAATTACAGATTTGTGGAGACTGGACAGATGACTGAACAGTTTCCGTACAGAGGAAAAGCTCTATTTGCTTTTGAAGAGATTGATGGAACAGATGTTTGTTTCTTTGGAATGCATGTACAAGAGTATGGCTCAGAGTGTCCCATGCCAAATACCAGGTAAGCTTTTCTATGTATGGACACTAAACTCGTTACTTACTATGGGTGTGTACATGGTGTACCTTATTTCTAATCCCATGGGTACACATTAAATCAAATATATGGTTTGTAGGGTCTTCAATATAATGTACAAAAAAGTCAATCTAATATAAAAAGAAGAGGTTAAATTTTTCTTGGTTCCTAGGAATAAAATCCCTAGTTGTGAAAGGATTAATTTTGACATTCAAATTTTGTCTTGTTTTATATATCATGATTTCAGTAACATGCATGTATTGTAACTTTTTTTAACAACTCAATTAAACTTAGACAAACTTTTGTATTCTAGTTTGGATAACATTTAAATTTACATAGGCTGTTAAGTAAATTGGGATTTATCTGAACTGGTGTAAAATTTATATTCAGTACTTTTTTATGCTTTTTGTGTGTGCGTTATTGTTGTTATATCTTATAACTGATTAACTCAGACTTTGAATCATTTTCTTATGGTGGTTTGTAGGTTCCTGATGATCATCCATACAACCAAACCTGCTGTTGTCTCCTGTATCAATTGCAAGGGGGGCACCAGGTCTTGCATTCTCTGTTTCCATGCTCTCGACCTCTTTTTCTGAGTCCATTCTTTACATATACATCTAATAGCTTGTCATATTCTGGGTGCCTTGATTCTTGTCATGTTTCAGTGGATGTGCTCTCATCTAGACACACCTCTTTTGTATGCTTTTCCCATTCATCTCAATGCCAAACTTCCCCTTTTTTTTTGGCCCCTGGTTTCTCATCTCTCAGCTTTTGCTGTGGATACATTCAGTCAGGACTGGTCCAGCCTATTTATCTATGCTACCCTCCAATTTGTCATCTCCCTTGTGTCTTTTCTCTCATTCTGGTCACTTCGTGTGAAATCCTCATGCTCGCTCTGCACTGGCTGGCTTGCTGAGTTTAGCTTTCCTATTTTGAATATTGTCTGGTCCTTCTCTTCCTCTTCTTCTGTCATGTTCCCTACTCCTTCATCCTAACTCCTCTCTCTTCCATTTGGCAGTGTTGCCACACTGGCTTCACATGTGGGTTTTGCGTCATGCTTTCTCCCCTACCCATCTATCTATCCTCCATCTTTCTGAATTTTTATATGACTGTTCGTTTAAGGCTTATTGCGTTCGACCATTGCTGGCTACAGGGCAGCTCTGCGTAATTCCTTCAGGTTTGCCCATTATTGTCATGTATTCTCCTCTCCTTTCTCTACTTTTTTCTTCTTTCTGAAACCTTCAAACTCCTCATCTGGCAGTTCTTTTTGATTAGAGCCGGAATGTTGTTCTCCATGTCCTTACCCATCCTCTCTCTGCACCTTTAGTCTCTTGTTCCTTGTACTATCTTTCATTTAAGTCCTATTTTTTCTTTTTGCCTGTGGCTGTAGAAGATCTCGTGTATGCCATTGATGCTTCCCATATTCTTTTTCATCCTTTTTATATTCTTTGTTACCCTGTTTGTGCTTTTCTCCCTGAAATGTCTATGGCTCATGAAGGGGAAAGCATGTTCACTCTACTTCCTTTCCTTCCATTTCTCACTTATATTCTCATTGTGATCTGGATCGTTTTCTCAGTTCCATCCATGAGGTTCCTTGTTGCTTGGCCTGCACTGCTCTTTTTCACGATTCATGCTACTGTCTACTAATTCTATTGAATTTCTTATCTACCCAAGATATTTCACCCATTACCTTACACGATCTTTACAGCAGCTCATCTATTTAGCCTATGCTTCATTGGATGTAGATTCACATCAACTCTTTTAGGTCTCCTATTGCCCAGTCCGATTACTTACTCCATGGCTGTTCACTTCTGTCATCCATTGGTGGAGATTGTACAGGCTGGCGTGTGGACTGTCCTGCATACTTTTGTCACACATTATCTTCATCATCTAGCCATCTCTTCATCTTTGGGATATCAACTTCCTCCCATTGCCATTTTACACAACTAACCAACTCTGACTGGATAAGTTCTTTTTCTATATATCTTCCCTTTACAGGGGCCTATTTTTATATCTGTCGATCCCACTCACTGGTGAGTGGTAAATGTCCGTGTATACTTAATCTTAAATCCACACTGTGCAGCCTTTAAAGTCTATAACGCTCACTAATGAGATGGGGTGTTCCACAAGACCACTCGACAGTTTCTCTTAGTATATTGGTTCATAAAAAGATCTGTTCCAGACCATACAACTCATGTACTATCATGAGTATAGCAGTGTTGGAATTGCTGCCCACTTCTATGGTCCTAGTTGAATAAATTTGGACCAACTTGCTTTTTAAAATTAGGTTTTCATGTTCATCCATTGCACAGTCTTAAACCTATAAGGACAGTACTGTGTTTAAACCCTTTTTGCACATGTTGCTGAGTTACATTCAAAATTTAATTAAATCACTTTACCACCATTTTGTCGGTGCATAAACTGTCTCTGCCAACGTTAATGTTATATCATCCACGGGCAACTGTTGCTGTGTGTCGACATAAATAATCAAAGATAAGTAAAAATTAAACATTAAAAATAAACTATAACTTAAAATGTAAAGATGTGAAGTTACACATATGACTCAAGAAGATATTTTAAGATTATTCAATGAAGAGATAAAAGGTGTGTACATATTTCCATTTCGTACCTTTTTACATTTCCTTATATTCATGATAATAGCAGAGTTAATGATGATGTAGAGAAAATAGCAAATAAAATATAAACATTTACCTTAAAAAACTTTTGTATTCATTTGGGAAGTTCTAGAGATAATGAAAATGAAATGTGAAAATTGTAAAATGAAAATAATATTTTTATACTTAACATGAAAATCACCTTGTAGATGAACTATTCAGAGACTGAGTGCAAACAACTACATTAAATAACAAATGTTTGGTAGAAATAGTAGAAAAATTTAATATTTTTCTCAAACTATATAATTTCATGAAAGTTCTTGTCAAGTTTTAACAATTTTATCCACCGGTTTTATTATTGGAAAGAAATTTAACAAAAGTTATGTAACATACTTAAGCCTGAAGTATGTCATCATTATCAGGTTAAGGTGTTGCATTCCTCTAGACTCACCACCACAATTTTCACCCCTCTTTTATGGAATACAGGAGTCCTTGCCACATACAGTTCCTAGCTGCTGGGGTGATGGAACATGAAAGCTTCCTCCCAAGTGTGACCACTTCCACTCAGCAGAGAGTAGGGCACTAGTGCTCTATTGGTGTAGTCAGTGTGTACCCTCCTCCTACTGCAGACCAGAAGTGACGTATCAAATGCCACCTGGTTTTGAACTGGAAGAATCCACCACATGCAGTTCTCTTTTCTAGCTGGCTTTCCCCCATCCTACTACCACCTGGATGTTGGTTCCAGGTGGTCTGGTGTTGGATCAGAGCAGGACCAGCCAACATAAGTCGTCACACATGTGGTTGGTAGGGTCCTTCTTCCTACCACAGACATGATGAAAAATTCTCAACACTGATTGATTTTGGACTGGATTTGACCCACCATGTTTTCATTCCTCTTCTTTACCATTGCCCAGATTCGGGTTGTGTACTGGGTCTGTGCACATGTGCCATGCCTAGATTGCTATAACAGAAGTTACTTTTCCCTTCTGCTTCCTGGTCTAAATAAAGGTGGAGAGGGTTGGGACCATTCTCTTACTGCAGACTGGAAGATACATATCCAGTGCTGTCTGGTTTTGGACTGGCATTGACCCACTGAGTTTTGTCTGACATACCCTAGCCACTACACACCATGGAATGTTCTTTCCACCATTGGACTTGCTTTCTTTCTGCCCAGCTTGGTGACATGTATCTTCACTGCATGTGAAGAGTATACCCTGATACAGATGAGGTGCAGTATCTATTGGAAATACATTTTCATTGTTAGAAAATAATAACTTTCACACAAAAAATAAAAAAATTAGTTATATATATATTGCTATAATATGAATTGATTAAAGGCTTTGCTGTTGATATTTTATGTCTCAGTAAAATCCTATATATATTTCTTGATTTATTATATAATGTAGACCTCTTTATATTTTGCCTTAGCATTTTTGTTTTCCTATAACAGGTAACCTTAACGTGTGTAGTTTACATGTAATAGATCAGGGTAAATTAACACTACAATTCGGAGGGGGGAGAGGGAAGGGTATCTTGGTTGCTGCTGTATGATCTAACTTTTTCCTTGTATCTCTTGCTTAGAAATAAAAGTACATAATTTATAAAGTACATTTCACTTTCTCATTATCTTCCTTTGATTATTCTTTTCACTTTATACATAATGTTCAGTTATGTTATGACTTTGACTTGTTTCTCCCCTCAAATAATTACATATGGACTGACCCAACTTACTTCCCTACTAAGAGAAAATTTTAAATCATTGGAGTACACAGTGGTTGACTATATTTTCAGTTCTAAGTATACTGAAAGCATGTTTTCAGGCAATTAATAAATAAAAGTGCCAGTTGCAATGTGGTGTTTTATTTTGCTGCTAATAATTGAGACTTTGTTATTTTATTGTCATGAATTTATGAAGCATGGTCATCCTTTAGGGAAAAAACCTGTAGAGGTGTATATTTTCACAAAAAAGTACAAAAAGCCCCAGATTACATTTTGTGTATGAAACCCTGATCATGTGTGATATGCTATAGTTTCAATGCTTATGACTTTTTCCCTGAAAAAATTTATTAAATGCCATGATAATGAAATTATTTCTAACTTCTTAAAGATTACATATATAATGTAAATGGTGTAGCTCTTTTCAAATAAAATGTTAACTTCAGAAAGAGGTTTTCATCCATTTTATGATAATTTTCTGTTTCTTCTAGTCCTAACAAACCTTTCGAATTTCATTTAATGTTACTACAAATGTAAAGTAATTATGTGGGAAAGTTATTAAATATACGTTTTAGGGTATGTCTCTTCAAACCACCAGCTGTATAGATTTTGAAAAGTTTATGTTACATAAATTGTATATATTGCGTTGCTGAAGAATGAAAGCTGGTAATACTATTTGCCATATAAATTTGAAAATATAAGATTCTAATTTATGCTTTTTAAAAATGTATTATTATTTTAATTTAAGCCATATAAGGTGTAAGTTAGCGTCTAAAACTTTTCATACATCTCATTGCATTTTCAAGTAAAACTTTATTATAAGCATTATTTTTTTTTCTTACAGTGCAATATATATTTATTTTTGAATGGGCATATATCAGCAGGATTTCACAAAATTTAATATTTAAATTATTTTATCAATATATAAAAAAGGAAATTTTAGAAAGGTCTTTAGTTGTGCTAACATAAAGTAAAAATTAGTTTCAGCTAATTATATAAATAGGACTTTAAAGTATTTTGGTGTTAATGTTATAGTTGCAAGTCTTCAGAAGTTGTACTTAAAATTTGATTGTTCTAGAGCTTATGAACAAAACTTAGAACCAAAGTGTCACATGCACACATAAAAAAAAGTCGTTCTAGAATTGCAGATTATGTATATCTAGAATAGTGTACTTTTTCAAGTTTTGGCATTAAGAAAAAATACAAAATTTATATTTAAAGTGTGAAAATTTGACATGAAAAGATAATAAATCTTGCCCTAAACTTTTAGCTTGTCAAAGAGCTTGAACTTAGTAATTTCTGTGATATATTTTGCAAGTTACATACATGTTGAAACCTTGGTATATTTATATGCAAATAGGTATTGTAGGTAATGGGAAAATGTACATAGTGTTACACAAGAATGAGAGATAAAGCATGCAAATTTATGATAATGTAATATAGCCCTGTAGTAAGTACAGCAATGTAAACCAATGTTTAATACGTATTTGGTATAATCTTTCCTTTGGATATAAAGAATACTTTGAATATAATGTTCATTTCAACACGTGATAACAACATTGACTAACTCTCACTACAGGCTTGGTCCCAGGGACTGACCTCATAACCATTTTTACTAGTTATAGATTTTGTACTATAACTTTTAATACAGCAATGTGTATCTTCACAAAATTTGACAGACTTTTATTAAACATTACAAGCCTTTTCTACAAAACAAATCAGGTTTTTAATTAAGTATTTTTACTAATGATTTATATGTGAATATAGATTGTATTTCTATATACTAGTCTGAGTGCTAAGTGATTTTCACATGAAGATTAAATGTACTTTTCTTCATCTCAGAAAACTCAAATTTTATTTGTATAAACTGTAAAGCCTCCTAAATATATTTCAAACATTTTTTGTTGTATTTTTCAGTAAAACTTTACATTTTATCTGTTATTTTCTCGACTCTGACTTTATACAAGGTTGGTCAATTTGACTAACCTCATAACCACCAAAAAAAAAGGAAATAAATCTAAATTACCCTTTTTTATTTCTATAATGACTTCAAATTGTAATATGAAACTACATTTGTTTATCCTAAATAGCTTTTAATCTCATAACAGTATACATCTATTGATACTTGAGTTTTATTGCCTTTTGAACCCTGTGTAATTACTATTTGTACCATTATAAGTTGTAAATCATTCAGCAAACATGTAGCTCATGTTACACTATCTAATTACCTTATCTGCAAGCTACTTGCAAGCATACCTCATGAAAAAAAGTTTATTATATTATGATTATTAGTATTTATTTCACCTAATCTAACCTTAACTGAGATCAAATATTTTCCTACTTTTACATTTTATTTGCTTTTATAATAATAAATAAAGAATACACATTACAAACAAGAAAAAAAGGTGCTTACCCAAGTCTTCTTTTTTTTTTTTTTGCTGTTGACAACCCTTAACCCCACTTTTTTATACTAATGGTAGTAGTAGTACACTAAATGTTTTTTATTTAATTAAATAATACACCAAAGAACACACATTAATAATGTGTAAAAAGCAGACAATGCCCCATAACTATCACAATTTTTCTAACTATGTGACAAGAGCTGTTAAAAATTCATCTAAGCTCATTGACATGTTTATCACGGGAATCAAGCTTAAACTGAATGCAAAATTGGCAGTTCTCTGTACAGAAAACAATATAATATAATATGTTATTTGATAGATGAAAACTTTGGCTTTTTATTCGTTATAAATAATTTAATATTGAATGTTAGAGAAAACTGTTGGCAGTTTCTGAAAGAGAGGATGTGACAGGTATGATTGTCTATTTCATGGGTCTGTCACCAAATAAGATTGAAGGCTATACAAATTATGCATTGCCTGAGCGATGATGGTATTATAATAAGTAACTTAAGTTAAATTTCATACTTTCTCAGAGTGGTTGTTAATTAACTTAGAGGAGAGGAGATGCTTAGAGAGCAAATGTCACAATTCTCACAGTAAGGGAATTCCAAATTTTTTTTGTCTGATATTGTCTTATAAAAGTAAGAACTTAAAATTTATATATTACTAAAATATGGATTACTAACTACGTTTATATGCTGTATTTATTGGTATACCATGAAAAGAAAGTAGTTTAATTAAGTTTTGAATTTAACTCACTAAAACCTTGTGACGTGCAGAAATAGTGGCAAGAGGGTTAATTCTTTCGCATCAGGTATGTTAGAGTTGGCATGTCACAACCTTTCACAGAGTTACATTCAAAATTTAATCATATTACTTTATTATCCATATATACGAATACACTTGGCATCAAAACATAGTTAATATATCAACTTTTAATATTATTTAAGTTTTAAGTTCTTAATTTTATGAGTAGTATGAGAACTTTGACATTTGTTATCTATGCATTTCCTCTTTAATTTATTTACCACCCCTCCAAGAAATTTGGAATTCAACATAAATTACTCATTATAATATAGTTATTGCTCAGGCAAAACATAATTTTATAGTCTTCAATCTTTTTTGGATTCAGAGCCATAAACTAGAAAATGAGACCCCTCCGGCTATGCCCACCTATCACATCCTCCCTTTCACAACTTGTCAATAGTTTTCTCTGATGCTTAATATTACAATATTTATAACCAATAGAAAGTGAAAGTTTCAATTTATCAAATGACATATTATATTGTGTTGTTTTCTGCACAGATAATCGTCACTTTTGCTTCCAGTTCAAGCTTGATTCCTACAGGAAAGGCAAAGATGAGCTTAGCTGAATTTCTAACAGCTCTTGTCAAATAGTTAGAAAGCCAGAATAATTGTGATAGTTATGGGCCATATTCTGCTTTTTGATTGTTATTATTCTGTGTTCTTTGGAGCATTATTTAACTCGATAAAAAATTTATTTAATGCAGTAGTACTATTAGTATAAAAAGTAGGATTAAATGTCATGTACAGTTGACAGCAAAAAGAAAACGACCTATGTAAGTACTTTACTTTCTTGTTTTTCATGTGTATTCTTTATTTGTTATTATAAAAGTAACTAAAATGTAAAAATTAGAAGTGTTATGTAATTCAATAGGTTTAGATTAGGTAAAATGAAAAATAATAATAATGATAAAATTTTTCATGAGGTACTCTTGCAAGTAGCCCGTGTGTTATGTAATTCAATAGGGTTATATTAGGTAAAATAAAGAATAATAATGACAAAATTTTTCATGAGGTACTCTCGTGAGTAGTCCATGTGTTATGTAAATCGATAGAGTAATGTGAGCTGCATGTTCGTCAAGTAATTCAGATTTAATGGAAAGATTATTAGTTTAGACATAGTTTAAAGGGCAATAAACAGTAGAATTAAATATAAACAGATGCATACTATTATGATATTTATGCTAGTTAGGATAAACAAATCAAGTTTCATGTTACAATTTGAAGTCATTCTAGAAAGAAAAAAGGGTAATTTAGATTTATTTCCTTTTTGGGGGTGGGAGTGGTGGTTACAAGGTCGGTCAAATTGACCAACCTCATATAAAGCTAGTGTAGAGAAAATGACAGAAATATAAAGTTTTTCTAAAAAAAACATTTGATATTTTATTTAGGAAATTTGAGGGATTATGCAAACAAAATTTGAAAATATTCAGATGAAGAAAAGTGTTTTCAATCTTAATATGAAATTCACTTTGCACTCCGAGCAGTCAACACTCTGACACTATATAATTAAGCAGAAACTTTTAGTAATAATACATAATTAAAAATTCTTATTTTTTGTTTATGGAGGACTTTTAAAGTTTACTGAAAGCTTGACCAGTTTTGTGGAGATACAATAAGTACTTTCAGAGTTATAGTTACAAGGTTCTGTAAAATACAGGTGTCCATTCTGGTGGGGTTAAAAACGTTTGCCTATTTCTTTCATTGAATACTCAAATGACTTTTGTTTGATATTTGTGCACGATAGCTAATCAGAAATTGCCTTTACTCTTCTCCACTTGTGTTAAAACCTTTACTGAACAGTAAATTATATCATATTAAAAACATATGAAAAACTTGATATCTTTACAATAAAATTGTAAAGATGTCAAAATTTATTTAATGCCTATTCATTATCCCAGACTTTACTTTTATTATTATATTTTATTCTTTTACAGGCGTGTTTATATAGCTTACCTTGATAGTGTTCATTTCTTCAAACCCAAGCAGTACAGAACAGCTGTGTACCATGAAATACTTCTTGGATATTTGGAGTACGTCAAACAGTTGGGGTAAGTGATAAATAGCATTCATTTTTCATATAATTCAATATATATATATATTAGTGAAACTGTAGCATCATCCATAATTGTAAAGGTTAAATTCTGATTCCTTTTTACTTTAATAATGAAAGTCTTCCGGATATTTCTAAAAAATCCTGAAAACCTCAGGTTTTCTTCCGGAGAAACACATTTTTTAAAATTATTTATCGGATTTTGGTGTTCCATGCCATAGATATGCGTTTATGCAATCGCACGGTTTGTTTACATTCGGCAACAGGGCGCCGCCAATTTATAGTCTCGCAATGCTTGCTGGCGTGTACGAGACCTTGTATGCTTATAATGCAAACTTCATGTCATGTGAACGAGATTTTATCTCGAAAATATGCTTTAGAAAACGCGGTCATTCTTTTGTGTACCTTTCTATTGAGCAAGACATTTGAAGAGCCTTATCTATTCAAAGGTGTTTACCGAATCGATAATAGATCAAATGAAATGTACAAACAAGTAGATAGGTCGGCG